AGAGGAAATTGAAGTTGTAGGTGAGGAGGAACTCTGACAATGAGGGTGGTCAAGCGTTGGAACAGGCTACTTAGAGCAATTGTAGAATCTCCAACTTAGAAGTTTTTGAGAGCAAGTTAGACAAGCACTTGGCTGAGATGGTTTAGTTAGGGATGATCCTGCCTTGAGCAGGGTGTTGGACTAGATGATATTATGAGGTCCCTTCCAGCCTTACTTTCCTAAATCCTAATGTGGTCATTTATTTTTTATGTTCAAGTGAATGTTTTAATATTTAAAATATGACAAATTTGCAGGTTTAAGACAAAATATAAGTAAATAAACCCATTAAATTGTTTAGTTGAGCATACTGCATTACAGATACATGATGATATAATACTAAATAGTATTTCGATATTTTCTGTTTAAATCAGGTAGGTATTTAATTGGAAAGATCAACCAAGGCATCCTGTTTAAGTAATTTGTAATTTATTACAGTTGTAATTTAAAAGCTCTCTGTTTCTGAAATGAAAAGTTACATGGTCTCTTAGACTAAGATGATTTGTAATTGCCAGATAATAATAAGCACCCATTTTGTTGCATTCCATTGAGCTCACTGGAAAGCTAAGAAAGAGTTAGTTGCCTAATCTTAAATAACTCCATATATCTAGCTATATGCAAATATGGGAGGAATTTTATATTTTTAAGGACAACCCAACATAAAATATTTTATTTAAAGAAAATACTTTATTATATCCGGGGCCATGGAAGCACAGAGTATGCTCAGCTGAAAAGCTGCCTTTAATAAATTTTTATGATTGATATTTGGCCCAAACTTGTGTACATTTGTGCAGTGCTGAAGTTCAGAATTTAAACAAAAGGAAAAAATTCAAACATTTTTTTCTGGTAACACTATTTTTTATGTATGCAATTATTTAAAGAGCATTCATCACCATATTACAAGGGGCTTCTTTTAAAGCTAAGAAAATACTAGCTTGAAAACAATCAATAAAGCCAAAACTAAGGCGGGTAACTTTCCATCACATGCATTGGACTCTAGCCACTTCTACTTAGAAACTTTTGCTTATATAATATCAATTAAGCAACATAATTTTTATACTGTTTTTAGCCTAGCAAAATATTATTGTATTGTATATTGTATTGGCTATTGTATTGTATTGACTATTGTGTATTGTATTGGCTGTATATTGTATTGGCTATTGTATATACAGGCTATAGTGTATGCTGACAACTCCTCTTGCTTATATATTCTCTTTTATTTGGGAAATGGCATAAAAATACTGGCAGATAACTCTCTGCCAGTAAAAGCTATGTCTGTCTCCATTGGGAGCTATGCCATAGCTATTAGGGGTGTGCAAAATAGGCCCTATTCAATCTGGATTTGGATTTGGCCCAAATCAGGGACAGTGATTCGATTAATTGATTTGGATCACTGTTCCCGATTCGATTTGGCCAAATCCAAATCTGAAGATTTGATACTGATTCGAAGAATAAGTGATTCAGACATAGACACAGCTTTAAATGTTTTTTCTACATACCTCGAGGTACCAGCACAGCTCATGAATACTGCAATGCTGGGGTGGATGAAACATCCCACAGGAGTGGAGGGGGGCCCCTGCATGCTCGGGGGTGAACCCAAAAGTGGACCGGAAGTACTTTTGGTCCATTTCTGGTTCCACCGGGGAGTGTGCAGGAGGCCTCCCTGTGCCTCCCAGCTTGGCAGTCAGCCACGGGGGGGGATCCCGGGTGACCCCCAGATCCAGAAGGCACCAGTCGCTAAGCCAGGGAGGCACGGGGGGGCCCTCCTGCGTGCTCTCCAGCAGACTCGGAAGTGGACTGGAAGTGCTTCTGGTCCACTTCTGGGTCAGCTGCCGAGTGCGCTGGGGAGCCCCCTACACTTTTGTGGGGGGCTCCATCTGCCCCAGCATCACAGCATTCATGAGCTGCCAGCTACCTAGAGGTATGTAGAAAAAGTATTTAAAGCTGTGTCTACGTCCAAATCACCAAAACTTTCCGAATATCTCCTAATTGATTCGGAGGTGTTGCAGGGCACCAAGGTGCCAGCTCCTATAAGAGCAGAAACTGCCTGGGGAGAGCCACGCAGAAGTCTACAGGTGCAGGTTACTGTGGCAACAGCCCAACAGGTAAATTAGCCTGCACCTGCACCCAGTCAGCTGACCAAGAGAGGCAGAGCCCTGGGCAAATATAAACCCCAGGGCTAGGGAAGGAGAGTTCTCTGTCAGCAGTCGAGGGGGAAGGAGCTCTCAGAGAAGAAGCTCATGAGACAGGCTTGGCTGCTTGTTCTACCCTGGCTAGAATTAAGGGGCTGCAGGAGCTCACCCGAGAGTCTGGCTTATAAGGCACTTAGTGCTGGGAGAAGCTTGATGTTTTAAAGGGACAGAGCACACCCGGAACTGCTTATGTTGTGTTACAGCCCAGGGGCTCAGTGTTTAGTTGCTGTTTTGACTGGTGGATTGGGCTGAGGCTATTGGGGAAGGAGGGGGGCCCACAACAGTGTGGGGACCCCAGCACCAGAGAAGGGCACAGAGACAGGGCTGCGAGAACCCCAGCACCAGAGAAGGGTACAGAGACAGGGCTGCAGAGAGCCCGGCGCCAGTGTGGGCACAGAGACAGGGCTGTGGAGAGCCCAGCGCCAGAGAAGGGCGCAGAGACAGGGCTGCGCAGAGCCCAGGGAGGACAAGGAGCCAAGTTATATCAAGGCCTAGGACAGACAACGTCAATACCATCTGTGAGTCTTGGGGCGTGGTAAAGAGGTGATTTGGAGCGATGCATCTAGCCCATAAGGCTGAGAGTGTTCCGTGAATCATCCATTTTGAAGCGGGATGCCAAGGGGTCTAAGAACCCACAGAGGTCAGAGGAGTCCAGTAAGACTGTGTCCGGACAATAAGATCAAGGGCAGCCTCCCTATTCTAAAAGTACCAGCAAGACGTGGCAGGCGAGAAAGAGGGTGCCCGTTGGGCAAGATTGGCATGGTCAAGGAGCCCCAGGGGTATCACGGCCATCCCTGGGGCCCCCATCCTGTGACAGGAGGGTTCTGATTCGATTTGGAGAGATTAAAGAGTCTCCTGATTCGATTCAGATTCGGAAATTCAACCACCGATTTGGGCCGAATCTCCGTTGAATCGAATCAGGGACCGAAACTTCACACAGCCCTAATAGCTATGGTAGCAAATCTTTTTCTCATGTAGGCAAGATCTCATGATCAGGCAAACTACGAAGGGAAGTGAGTTAAAAGGTATACTCCTAAACAATAAATTCCTGTGTTTTGCTAGCTTTTATATGAAGCTGTAGAGGAGTGCAAAATTTGTGAAGACCAGTATACTACTGTAGTATTGCAAGAAAGTGATTTTTAAAATATTGCAACATAAAACACGCACACATTAGGAAATATAAAAGGCAAGGTTGCCTGCAATGGTACATTAATGTCTTTGAATTATCTAGTTTGTGTTCTGTGTTTCCCACCATGCTGCTGCCCTTTTGAATCTGCAAATTGGATGTAGACTTGGGCAGGGCAATTTAATGAATGAAGCGGAATAATGAATGAAGTGAACGGTCAAGTTAAAAGAAATATTTAAGATGTTCCTCTATCAAGTCAAATCAAAACAAAACACTCCATTTTAACTTTAAAAATTGTAACCAGCAAAATAAGCATACTCATTTCATTTCATAATCTTGTGACTTCTGCCTTTGTCCTGTCTCATCTGTTCTCCATATTATCTCTCTGCTGTCCTCTTATTTGTACATGATATTGCCCATTTTCACAAATCCTCATTTTTTCTAATAGCCTTAAGTCCTGGAGTTATGGGAGTATGTGATTTTCATTTTTTCCTCCCAAACTTAAGCTTTTACTACTCAACTTTGGGCAGAAAAGTATTGTAGGGCATTTTTAAGGGAGTAAGATACAAATGCTTACAAAATTAAGAGAATCGCCTAAATTATGAGGCAAAATGAGGACTATGATGCATTATTTTTTATCAAAATAAGTTATACATAGTAGTGTAATGTTGCATATGTACAGAGTACAGTTTTCAGTTGCAACATTCTTTCTTTTTCAAATTTACCAGGTTTATGAATTTTTATTGATGACTAACATGTCTTGTTTAATGCTTTAAGATTCAGACATCTTTGATACAATTCCATTCTGACATTATTTCAAAATGTCATTGTGGAACTTCATATTTCTTGCTTTTTTGTGACTTGCTGGGTTTCTTCTTTCTTTTGTATCATCGTCATTGATAACAAAGTTTTAGCAGGCCTTATATTTGTGAAACATGAAACTTGTAAAATAACCTTGTTAAAATTGTACAACACATAATAAATTAAGAGCAATCAGAGTGCTTGTTATTCTTTGCTATGTTGGCTTTTCAGGGCTAACAAAAATAAAAACACAGGAGAAGTATTTTATTACTGAAGTCAACTGGTAAGACTGGATATAAATGGGCAGCAGATCTGTGGAGTAAGAAAGTGAATATTTTGCAGAGCCACTTTTCAGAGTAGGGTACATCTTAAATGGAAAAATATTTCAGATATCATGTCTTTCTATCTCTACAAATCTTTCTATACTTAGGCATAAGTGAAGGGGTTTGATCAAACTTAGCAAAGAAAAAAATTATTTTGGTCTGTGACCAAGGATTTAATATTTCAGTCCAGTAAAATCTTTGTAAAAATTTATGGTCAACTTGTAGCAGAGGTTTGAAATAGATTTACAAGCATATTTAATGTAAATAAAATCAACTAAAGGATAATGGGAAGTATATATTGTTCATTGACCTGTTGTGTTTCTCCATTGCTTAACTTAGAAGGCCTAATCTTGACTAGGGCTTGCAGTTGCTATTGTAATAGTAAAAAAACCATGCCCTGGTATTTTTTTGGTAACTGTAATATAAAGACAAATAATAGGGCTTGAATTTCATTTGTATTTTATTGTCTACTAGGAATGGCAAAGTAGATTTAAGCAAAAATGTATTTTTTTTCTTTTGAAGGGTGCTGGGAAGAAAACATTAGCAAGAAAAATAGCACAAATATGGAAATGCACATTCATAGAAGGTAAATAACATTGGTATCCAGAGCACAGCACTAGCTTTATAACAGTTTTTATTTAGAGTAGTCTTCATACTCCCTGCGATACTGGTTGATACATTGTTGACTTCAGTGGGGCCAACAGATTATCTGACAGGAAACGTATCATTGCTGAACCAGGCAAATGCATCTGCCTATGCCACAAAGCTGCTAAACAAAGCAGTTTTCTCCTCTTTTGTGAAGGGAATGTTAACGTTTAATGACCCAATCAGAACCCCAGTCTTGTAAGACTCTTATCTTCATGTGGAGTTTCTCTGAAATCAGTGGCGTCTACATGAGTGCAGAGGCCTGTGAGGTAGGGAGTATCTTTCTGTTCTGTGTTTGCACAGTGCCTAGCACACTGGGTTCCTAGTCCATGTCCTGGGCTTCTAACCGTATTGTAATCTAAATAAAAATAGATGAAAATTGGTGCTCTTGCCTTTGTAATTTCAAGTCAAAAAGTATCTGAGGGGTCATTTCAGTGGGAGCAGGGAGAGATTCTCCTACCCTGCGGCTTTCAGTTGGCCCACAGAAAGATGATTTGCTGCACTATTCAGTTTCATTTCCCTAATTCACTCTCCCTGAAGGTCCCTAAGGGTGGAAACAGAGGACCTTTCCTTGCCCTTGTTCCACCATAAAAATGTTTATGGCAGCACAAGGATGAATGAAACAGGCATCCCTGTACCACTTGTTGCCCCCAAATGCCCCAAATTTGTGGGTGCGACAAAGGTGGTAATAGATTGAGCCACTTTATTGCAGTGGACATCTGTTTGCTCAGTAGCAACAGCTTCCCTGCCTCGGTTTGAGGGGCCCAAACCTGTATACCCTGGGAATTCCTGGGCAGGAGTGGGTCCCTCAAGTTGCTGGAGCATCTGTCTGGCTTTTCCCATTTACAGAGATGTGCCCCAGGGACATCATAGTAAGCAGGGAACTCTGGGCTTTCCCCACTTAAAGAGACACACCCCCATGAGGTGTTTTTGCCTCTGTGCTAGGACCTGGTACCACCCATGCTTCACACGGAGACATGAATTAGCATAGGTCCCAACATGGAAGCATGGGGCAGTGAGGAAGGTGGGAAACCCCTGGCAAGGGAAACACATGTGCCGCCTGTCACTGACCCATGTCTCTGCAAGTCAGCATTGGAACCTGCATGGGTCCTTGCAACTCTTTGCTGGTATCTGCACTGATCCATGTGTCACCTGGAGGGACAAGTCAGTGCTGGTCCCAGCAAGGAAGTGTGGGACAGTGAAGGAGGTGGGGAATTCCCTGGCAAGGGGAGCATGTTACCTCTTGTCCCACATTGGGCCCTTGCCCATTGTAGTACAGTGGGCAATGTGCATTTCGCACAGTGAAGAGGATCAGCTGTGACTGTTTCTGTCCTTAAGGTCAGCAGGTGCAAAGCAATTTCTTGGCACAATTCTTTGCCACAGCAAATGCATTGCTAGAAGCGCTGGTCACTTAAAGGCATTTTGAGGAAAAGGGCTAGAAACTTTGATAGGCAAAAAATGAGCTTAGGTCTCCAGCAATTTCTTGTTGTCTTACACTAAGCTGCAGTTACTGGAGCCAAAAAAACAACCATAGCAGTGCTCCAGCTTCAAACATTTGATATTAGATATAATCAAAATTATCGGCATGAGCATGAGAGCTCAACAAGGATTGCTGAGTAGAGAGAGTTTCACTTCTTTCCTGTTTTGTGTTTCAAGAGCAGTTGTGTGTGTGTAGACTGGGTGGGATGGAAGGAAATTATGTCTGATTTTACTCCAGAGTGAAAAAAAATGGAATACTTCTTAAATTCTGGAAAATACTTCTCTTTTTAGGATGTTGTACTTTAGGATATTTTGCTTCAAGCTTTTATCTCTGCCTCAGATTTTTCCTACCAGTTTACGACTGATGTGAAAGGGAGAACTTGAAAGGGAGACATGGTAAACTAAAGATATAATATCCTTAAATTATAGGGAAACTACTTCAAATAACTTTTTATAACTTCTTATAAATGAACTCTATAGTTTACAACTTTTCTTAATTTTTTTTTAATTATAAATGTTTTTCTTGAATTAATTAAAAATGGAGGCCCTCTAGTGGTCAAAAGAATACCTCAGATTCTCTTGATTAAAAATGTCTTACAACATAGCAAATAAAATGTCTTTTATTGCATTTTGAAGACTTTGAGTTCAAATCTTAGTGAAGTTGAAGTTTTATTAAATCTCTTAGCTTTTCTATCAGTGAAAATACAGAATTCTAAATTCATACCACTTTTCTAAACAAAAGTTATACCTGATGCAAAACATTTCATGTGGTTAAAAAAAATGAAAAAAAGAATTGTACAGCTATTTAATGATCAGTTACTCATGAAAATAAACAGGTTAGAAAAGTGCTTATTGTTCCAAATGAACAAAATCATGAATATACATTTAGGGACAGATCTTTCCATCTCTCTTTATGGGCACTGTCTTTGACTTTGATAGGATTTATACATAAGAAGGATTTATACAAGCATTCTTATGGGCCCAACCCATCATTGCAGTTCACCAAGTCATACTAAAAAAATTGTTAGGAGGCCTGTTGTTACTGCCAGTTTTATCTCTCTTAATTTATATAAACTTCTTTTCAACTGGCTGTTTTTAGAGCTGACATTTTTGTTTGTTCTTCTTATAAAATGTGATTCCTTAATATGTAAAATAGTTCCATTAAAATATTCATCAATGGATTTCATGGTAGTTGCAGTATGATAATATGGGTTGCTAATTAAGACAGCCCTTCTAGGTGATTTCTATATTTAAATGTACTATATAGATGCAAAATATGTTTCATTAATTGTTTTCATTTTAATTTTTAGCTTTGGAAGTAATAGAAGAAAATATTTCTACAGGAACAGAATATGGACTTAAGGTAAATATGTACCTTTTATTAATTTCATGTAGTAAGGTTGGAGTGTCGTTCTATTTGTGATGGTTGAGGAAATTTGTAAGAAGCAAGGGCTTTTTCTGATATCTTTTATTGAACAAACTGCATTGTTGGAACAGATGTTAGACAAGAGTTCAGGTAAAAAGTGCTAAGGAAGGGCATTTCGTGCCCCAGAGCTTGTCTTTCCCAACTATACAGTTAGTTTAATAAAAGAATAGCAGCAAAAAAACAAACAAAATCCCCCACCCCAAATTTAATTCTTGCATTACATTTCATGATGTTCATCAGGCTCAGCTTTATTCCCATTAAAGGCAATGGTGGTAGGATGGGACAAGAACACAGATATTTTAAGAAGTTATATTTTATATTTTTTAGTGTCAAGAATTGCTTTATAGAGGTCAAAGTATCCCTGAAGAACTGGTTACAAGGATGATTCTGAAAAAGATTGAGACACCAGAAGCTGCTCATTTTGGTAGGTGGTTTGTTTTTTTGTTCTCTCAAACTATGCTACCACAACCCTGTAAAAGTTTTTTCATCTTATAAATCCCCCTTACATTATTTTTTAAATATTCTAATTAGAACGCATCAGAGTACATGTGTAGGCACCCTAGGAGATTCAAATCTTGTCTTTTCCCAATGTATGGGTCCTCCATTTGAATCTTTGGTATCTTGTACCTTGTAACTTCACCTATCTTCCCAGAAAACAGCAATTTTGGTGGTAATATCTTCATCTAGGATAGTTCAGGCTCTGGTGGCAGGGTTGCCACACACTTTATTTCACAAACGTAAGATCTCTTGGAGATCTCATCCAAAATTATTTATGACTTTCATTTAAAGCAAACAATATATTAACCTGTAGTTTTTCCAAAGCCTCATTGTCATGAAGACAAAAAAGACTTCATCTGCTGAATGTTCACAGGGCCCTATCTCTCTGTATCAATAGAATGAACCTCTTTAGAGCTTCTCCAAAGATTAAGAGACAAGGCAGCTTCAGCAGAGTGGATTATATCGTGCATGAACATTTGCTAAATTCTAGTTTACAAAATTCCTTCTATACAGACATCTGCTCATTTGGTGAGATTACAGTGTACTTCTCCAGCTCTTCTGAACAATGTCCTGATACATAAACATATGCAAAGCTTCTACGTGGTTACAATAGTAATCTATGCAATAGCCTAACTATGGGGGGATTACCAGAGAAGTAGCACAAAAACAGCTAACCACACTGCCACTATTGGCACAGTAGGAGCCAGCAGTGCCCTGTGTGTTGGTGGTTCTCCCAGTTGCAGATCTGCTGTGCCACACCTCTGCTTCTTTGGATAATTACTCTAAACATTACACAGTACTCCAAAGTTCTTGTTATGATGCGGACATTTGCAAAGCAGTTCTCCATTTAGTGATCCAATAGACTCCAAACAAATTATTTTACTAACAACTGCTTGAGAGTCGCCTACAATGGAATGGATATGTGTGCAGTCACTCAAAGGAGAGGAATGGTTACTTACCATTCATAGTAAATGTGGTTCTTTGTGATGTTCTCTTCATTTGTACATTCTGAATCCTTGTACCATTCTTTCATCTTTGGAAATGCAAACATCAGTTTCAGTTAGAAGGAACTGAAAGGGAGGTAGGTTGGTTCCAAGTATCAGGACTTGCAGGGCTCCCTCCTTATGGTACTGGTAGCAAAAGTCTCTAGCACACACCAAAAGTGAAAAGAGTGTCAACACATCTTGAAGAACAGCAAATACCTCAAAGAAGAACATCAAATGCTAGTTTCTTGTCTATATACATAGCTGTGGTCACCTGACCTAGATAAGTCATCCAGACAGATATAGGCTATGTATACAGAGCTGAAGGCTTATCTTCAGAAGGGTGTGTATTATTGTAACTCCAACTTCTAACCTTAGTTTGAAAAATAAAGGGTCTACTTCCCACTTATTATTATTCTACACTTTTGGGAATCACTACATGGGAAATCAGTGAAATGGGAATGAACATCTGAACTCTAGTTTACATAAGCAAGAAAATTCTCAGTCAAATTTGTTTCTTTCATATCTCTCCCCATGAAACACCTCAATGATGGGGTGGTCCCCATCAACCATTTGTTCTGACTTAGACCACAATGTATTGGTACTAGTTAGCCAGCTTGGTTGAGAAAAATGGGTTCACTAGATGACAATTGAACAGATATAGCTGTCAAAATGAAGTGCCAAAATACTGCTCAGGGGGGCACATTTACATGTGTATATTAAGGTGAAGCAATAAACTCCAGTGAATATCACACTAGGGTTTATTGCTCCTGGGTGCTGTGTTTACATCTGCATCTGGGACTGCAACAGGTTGAGCTAGGTTGGAGCAACCCCAGCTGACAGGGAGCCTGGGGGGTCAGCCTGCCAGCCTGGGGCTGCTCCACCCCAGTTCAACATACTGCAGAGGGTCAAGCTGGGGTACGAGGATGCTCCCGAGTGGGACTAGCCAGCAGGCAGCCCCTGCACTGAAGCACCCTTGTGCTCTACCTAGACACATCAGTGTCTATGCGTGTGCTGCTGCAGAGTAAAAAAAACTCCACAGCAGGATAGTACTGTATTTACAAGTCCTATCCTGCTGCGGAGTTTATTAGTTTCCTGTTCCCTAATAGAGCCACACATATAGGCACCAAGGGTGTGTGTAGACAAAACAGGGGTTTACTTTGCCCTAAATTGAAGCAGTGGGTTTTTAAAAACACCGCTTCAATTTAGGGCAAAGTAAACCACCATGTCATGTACACCCGTGTCTTACCTGCCTCTCTGGTGGCAGGGAGGGGAGGGCGAGCTGCCGGTGGGTGGAGTGGTACCTGGGCTGTGTGGGAGGACTGGACTGGGACTTCCCTCCATGGCAGCGGCAGCACCCCCCAGGTGGCATCTGCCCATAGGCACCTGGCTCAGGTGGTCCCAGGGGGCACCGTAGCCACAGAGGAAAGGACCAGGTCCCTGCACAGTTCACGCAGGCAGGCTCCAGGGGGGAAAAAAAAGAGGCTCGCCGCTTTTTTCTTTGGTGGAGCTTGCTTTCCTGGGCTGCTGCCAAGCTGCCTGCACTGGCTGCTTGCACAGCCCCTGAGCTGCACAGAGCCCAATGCTTCGCTCCTCGGAGCTCCTTGGTGTTTTAGTTTGCTGCACCCCAAAGTCATTTAAGGTGTATTATGCCACTGAATGTGCTACAGTGACTGGAATTAATATGCAATACGCTCCCAACACATGCAAACACCAACGCCATTAAAGCGGTGCAAAAGCATTTAACCCACTTTGAGGTGTCGTGCAGACATGCCCCCCATTTCATCTATAGATGTTTACTGCAGAGCTAATTAGTCAACTCAGTAAATGTTTTGTGTAGACGCAGCCTGTTAGTCCAGGCCATGTATTCCAACTGAGCCTCCACCTAACTGCCACATCACTGTTCTTTCCTCCAGACTTCCCAATCCATTAAAAAAACCCCACTGTATATCCCTCCACCACATCAGTCACACTGATGTATACTGATATTCCATCAGTACTATTCCTTGCCCCATTAACAGGCAAGACTGAAGAAATCAAACCAACCAATTCTGACCAATAACCATAAACATCTCAGATTCAAGACCATCTGGCCCCTTAAATATAATTATTCCTTTGTCCTTTCTCCCATTTAAGACAGTGAGCAAAAGTTATAAGGACCTAAATGACATTAAGAGAAGGATCAAATCAATCAAAGCAAAACAAATTCTAAATGCTTCTTGTGTTCAGCTATAAGGCAGCCTGTTCTCTGGATCTGCAGGGTTGGTTAAGACAATGGTAGGCTCATGAATCTAAAGCCAGGAGGAATGCCTGACTTCAAGGTCTGTCTCCATTGATAGGTATCCATTTGTCTTTGGCATGCAGCTTGTGAGCTAAAATTTTGCAAACTGCCTTTCCCTCATTCACTTTGTTTTGTCTAACGCAGGGGTGGGCAAAATACAGCCCGCAGGCCAGATCCGGCCCATGAGGCCATTCTATCTGGCTCACGGGGACCCTAAAAAATTTAGAAAATTAGCATTTATCTGCCCTTGGTTCCTGTCAAAAATGACAGGAACAAAGGGCAGTAGGACCCAGGGGAAGCCCAGCGGGCTCCCATAACAGCAGGGCCGCCCAGCCCTGCCCTGCCCTGCCCTGCCCCGCCCCACCCAGCCAGAAGCCCCAAGGGGGGCTTCTGGCCTGGGACCACGTGGCTGCCCCACGCCAGAACCTCAGGTAAGGGGGAAGTGGTGGGGAAGGGCAGGGGAGGACCTCAGGCAGGGAAGGATCCCAGGGAAAAGCGGCCCGGAGAAAAGCTGAGCGCAGGGGAGAAAGAGTGGCCCCTCGCACCGTGGCTGGCACCCCACACTGCAGCTGCTTGCAGCCCATGCGGGGCTGTCCTGAGCAGGCACAGGCAGCCCCACACGGGCTGTGAGCAGCTGCAGTGCGGGGCACGGGGTGGGACGGGGCGCTTTCTTCTCCACCCCCTGCACTCAGCACCACCTTGTACCCGGCCCCACTGCCAGCCTGGGCCCCCACGCCAGCCCCAGACTTGCCTGTCAGGACTGCATGTGGTGACAGCAGCTGGGGCCCCCTGACTTGTAGACAGTGGTTGCCACCACGGCCTGTGGGCTGCCCAGTGCACACTCCAGGCAGGCAGCAGCATCCAACACTGCCTGCCATGGCAAGGGGGGGGGTGGGGCGCAGCTGCTGCCACTGACAAACAAGCCTGGAGCCAGCGCAGAGCCCAGGTTGGCAGCAGGGCCAGGTTACAAGCTGGTGCCGAGTATGGGGAAAAGCAACCCCTTGTTCAGCCCATGGCCCTGCGCTGTAGCCACTTGCAGCCCACGTGGGGCTGCCTGTGCCTGCTCCAGACAGCCCCATGTGGGCTGCGAGCGCCTGCAGCAGGGAGCGCCGGCCATGGGGCAGGCAAGGGGCCGCTTTTCCCTATGTTCAGCACCAGCTTCTTCCCTGCCGGTAAGCAGAGGATCAGGGCTGTGCGCTGCCCCCCGCCCATACTGTGGGGCTGGGGGGCATGGAGTGAGCAGGTGTGGGAGCCAGTGGGAACACGGGGCCCACACCAGTGTCCCGGGGCCAGTGCTGGCAAGGCCCAGAGCCGGGCAGCAGGACTACAGGGTCCTGGCTGGCAGGGGCTCTATGGATCTGGGCCAGCTCCCCCATCTCCCTGCACCCTGCTGGTGCAGCCCAGCCTGACTCCACAGACTCCTGCCAGCCTGTGCCCCGCTTTGGGCCCTGCCGGTGCTGGCCCTGGGACATTGGTCCCAAGACATTGGGACATTGGTCCCAAGATGGTGACCAGGGGGCGGGGCACCTGTCAAGGGACGGGGCTACCCATTTGGACCTCAACAGCCTGCCAAAACTGGGAAAGTGGCCCTCCACCCGAAATATTTGCCTGCCCCTGGTCTAATGTGTACAAAGTGCTTATTGTCTGGGTCCAGATGTGGAC